TTTATAAAATTTTAGAATTATTTGTTTGATTTAATTTTTTATAAATAGCAATTGTTTTTTAGGGGTTTGGGATTTGTTTGGATTTGGGCGGCAAGTATAGTTGTAATCAGAGGGTTTAAATAAGTACCCTCCAAGTTGGAGTGCAGGTATAGCAGATAGTGTAGTATCCTTAGCATAGCACTACCGCTTTGGGCGGACTACTTAAATTAGACACCAAAAGTGCACGTGTGGCTTGATGTATCTTTGTTATAATTGTAATGTTTGAATCTACTTAATAAAAAGTCTTCGGCCATAGAGGTCATCTTAATACCAAAAAAAAAAAAAACAATTTTTATATTATTCAATTCATCTTATTAAGACAAATTGATTGGTGGCAAAATCACCCAAATCCGGTTACTAGATCTTGAGATATTGCTAATATATAATGATGTGAATTCTTTCAAATCACAATTTCTCTACCAATATATACCAGTAGGTGGTAGCTACTGTTAGCTACCACTACCAGTAGTATAGCAAACTTTCATTCTGATTAGCTAATTCTTCTATCTATATATATATAGTGCAAGCCGTAATTAACCAATTAGATTTAATAAACTACCAAACATCTACCTATTATTTATCACTTTATACATTAACCTCATGGTAGCTACCAGTAGTTACTAGTAGTAGATAGCTACTGATAGCTACCAACTTATATCACTACTGATATGTCATAATACCTCTATTGTGCTATATTATATTTTAAAATTTAGACATATATAATTGTTGATAGCTTATGTCCTTGTAATCAAAATTGAATGATTTTGTACAATTTAATTTGTATTGATAAGACAAATCAAATGGTATAGAAATCATTTAATTTGAATATACAAATTATATTAAATTTTATTTTAATTAGCCATAATATTTATATTTACCTTACTAATAAAAATAATAAAAAAATAATTTAAAAATATATTAATTGGTGATCCACCAGTCAACCAGAGAATGATTATAGTAAAATGTGACTCAAATTACTTATAAAAATTAATATCTCTAAATGTGGCGTGTGTGCATCTAAAACTTTTTTTTATACTAAGTTAATCACTTTTTTAACTTAAAAGACTTTTGTAAAGCTTGTTAAGGCACATCTAATGATAGTTAGAGCATCAAAATCGGCTTGGTGGGTGCCAAGATATCTTTAAAAAATAGTTCTTTTACTATATAAACTTCTTTGCAAACAATAATATTGCTTGCAAAGAAGTTTATATAGTAAAAGAAACATTTTTTAAAGATATCTCGGCACCCACTAAGTTGATTTTGATGCTCTAACCACCATTAAATATGCCTTGACAAGCTTTACAAAAGTTTCTTAAGTTAGAAAAGTGATTAATTTAGCATAAAAAAAAGTTTTAGATACACGCACGCCACATTTAGAGACCCTTAATTTTTATAAATAATTTGAGTCACATTTTACTATAATCATTCTCTGGTTGACTGGTAGATCACTAATTAAATTGTAAATCAAATTTTTTAATTACAAAAAAAGTACATAACTACAAGATAACTACATCTTTTAGAAAAGTAGATCTTTTAAAGAAATCTAGAATTGCCAAATACAAAAGATATAAATAAAATTATTATACATTCTTTCTTTTTTATAAAAGTATTCTTTCTTTTTTTTTTGCAAAAGTACTTTAAGTATACAACTTATCATTAACTTATATATACTATATAGTAATATGAATTAATTTCAATTAAAAATCTATTTTAATAAAAAATCTATTTTAATAAAAAATTTATTTTAATAATAAAAAATTTATTTTAATGAAAAACCTATTTTAATAAAAAAACTATTTTAATAAAAATTTATTCTAATAAAAAATCTATTCTAATAAAAAAAAACTTATTAAAAAAAACTATTTTACAAAAAAAAAAACTATTTTAATAAAAAAATCTAATTTAATAAAAAATACTAAGAGAAGTGTTATTTATTACCTGATTTTTTTTGGAGGGGGGCCCTACTAAAATATCACGTATATATGTATGCATACTTTCAGAATTTCAATCTATTTATTATATAGGGAGGGATAATATTTACTATTTAAAAAAATCAGATGATAAATAACACTTCTCTAATAGTACAAAATATTTATATAAGAGATATATAGTGCTTGCAAATATCTTATTTGCACTATAATAAATATAGAAGCTTATCTTTTATATTATTATAGTTAAACAATTAGATTTTTATTAATTGAAATGATAATTAAAATAGTATTAATATTATAAGAATTTGAAGAAGCAGTAAGCCATACTTATTAAAATATTTATTTCAAATGATATAAATTGTGAAATTTAACAATATCTGGTATTATTCAAAATAAAGAGATAGTATAAAAGAATAGTTAAAATAAAATTTTATATAATTAATTAATAATATAATTAAAAAAAATCTGTTTTTTTAATTTGAACTTAATTTAAATAAAATTAATGAAAATAGTATTATCTAAAAAGTTATAAATAATTATAAAGCTTAAGAGTTAATAACTATAGTAAAAAGTAATTAGAAAGATAAAATATAATAAAAAATTAAAGTTAATAAAAAAGAAAATATCTAAAACAATAACTAGTAATAAAGAAGTTTTTTATATAATATTTAGCTAGAGCTATAATAACTAAATTAACTGCTAATAATCAAAGTCTTAATATAAAAAATATATAAAAAATATATTTACAAAAGAATTTAATAAAAATTTTTATAACATTTTTTGCTATATAAAAACAAGCCTAAGTTAAAATTTATCAGATTTTGCAAACCTCAAGTATATACAACCTTGTTTATATTTCTTTAAGATTACTTTTTTTAATTTATTTTATTTTGATTATAGTGTTCAACTGAAAGTGAAAATGATAAAAACAATAAAACTTTAATAAATTTTAATTTTAAACAAAAAATTTTTTGGTGTTTAATTTATTTTTATTATATACAAAAATTTAATTTTAGCTATTAGCTTTTGTTATTGATTGGTTAATTTTTATGAATCTATTTGTGATAACTCTGTTTTAGTAACACAAAATTTTGAACATAATACATTTGCACATGTAATAATTTAATGACAAAAAAAAATTAAATCAATAAAAATCAAGCAAATATTTTTTAATAAGCTTTTTTAAACAAGAATAGCTTAATAAAAACTTAATCAAATCTAATAAATTTTTTTAAATTAATTCTACAAGTTTGTAAAAACAATTTTTTATTAATTTGGTAAAGTTTTGTTAAGTTATTCTTGTTTAAAGTTATAAAAATTTTTTATTATAAAAATTTATGTTACTGTATACAAAATTAGGATTAAATCTATTATAGGTGACACCTCCGGCAAAGTTTCCGTGATCACTGAGCTGGCCAAAATTACACATGTAATTTTGGCCAAATCACGCGATCACATGACACAGCTCAGTAATTAAGGAAACTTTACCGGAGGTGTCACCTATAATAGCAGATAGATTTAATTCCAAAGGATATAATAATTTGATCAGTGACAAATAAAAACATTATATACTATAAAGCATTTAACTTCAAAGTCTAACTATAAATACTGTAAAAACTTTATGTCAAAAACTCTAATTTAGTTAGCAAACTTACCTAAACAATAATATAGTAAAGATAAATAAATAATTACCATTTTTAAAATATTTTATAGTTTTGTTTTTACATTCTTTACACCATTTTTACTTATAGAAATTTTGCCAACAACTTTGCTTTAAATATAATGTTTCTTGACTAAGACTTGATATATATTCATTTACATATTCAATTTGCTTAGAAGTGAGTAAGACGAACAGACTAACAGGCCTGCAAGAAGATCTATCACCGTTTTCAATAAAATGGCCAGTAGATACACATTAACGTTTCATCATTCATTATATTGGCAATGATAAAACAATCCTGTGAATGAACAACCGAGATATCGCACTATCCATAGTAACTTCCACACACAACCGCTATCTGGAGCTATTCCTATTGTTACCATAACAGGTAGACATACTGAGGAGCAGGCCAAATAATAAAAATTTTAAGTGTGACAAAATAGTATGACTGATGTAAAAACAAAACATAGATGATCTGCTTCACCAATTGTGATTTACTTTCCTCCATTTATTTTAAATGTCAAATGATCTCTATAGGATTTCCATCTATCATACTAACCACTACCTCAACAGCCTCAGTTTCTCCATCATTTTGCAATAGTTTCTCAAGATGAGGTTTAAGCACTTCGGAAAGATATCCTCTTTCGGTATTTGTGTGTTCACCTAATTTACGAAACCCTATTAACATTTTTTTACGAAGATGTAGATATGCCTTTATAAAAAAACTTACATAGAATAACGCTAGTATTTTTACTCAATGCAGCAAGTACATCATGATGTGACATTTCTCCGGTAAAATATAAGTCTGCTGTGGCCGGCGAAAGCACACTTGAACCTTTTTGTTTATTATTGTTATTTTTTTTTTTTACCGATGTTAATGCTATGTTTGAGCAAAATTCAAATGAAAAAAAAAGTTTCTATTATTTACCTGATCCAGCACAAATTCCAACGGTTGAAATAAATTCATTGGAGATTGAACCATGACGTTCAGCCGTAGCTACTCTAACTTTATTTTTATCAAATTTTCATTAATTTCATTGATCACAATAGACAATTCTCAATTTTAAATAAAGTAATACTAAAGTTAATTACCATACTTAAGCTTCAGATACAGTTTAATTCGTTCGATTATTGTCGAAAGAGAGGCAGGTTGTTCTAATGTAAACAATCTTCCAGATCCAGCCGTTTCTTGACCTATTCATAATAGATTACTTTTTAATATTAATAAAAAATTCAATTAAAAAAATAATAGACAATTTGAAACGAAAAAAAAACCTGATGGTGGATTTTCAGCTGGAGTTATAGGCTTAGAAGTTCCAGTTCCAAGTGCTTTTGATAACCAATCATTCACTATTTAAAAAAGCAAATTATAACATCACATTTAAAATCTTTTGACACATCCATTCTCTGATGCATACCACCACCAATGCTAGAATCCAAGGCAGTATGTGGACTAAATACACCAATTCCTTTTGCTACACATTTCATTATTATAGCTTGTTTAATATCACTTAAATTCAACCGTTTGAAAGGTCGGAAAATTGGTGGATGGTATGCCACTATTACACCAACTCTTGGGTCTGCTATAGCCTCCTCTAATACTGATGATGTTAGATCGATTGTTAAAAATACTCGAGAGGAATCTGGACGTGGGTATGGAGGCTCAACAAGTAGGCCGACATTATCCCAAGATGATTCAGCTAGTGACAGAGGAGCTATTTTTTCCAAAGCACGAATTACACGGGATAATAGGATGGACATTTCGTATGAAAGATAAATTGCATACAAGAAACATTCAATTGAATCAATTAAATTGCAAATATAGATAAATGATAAGTTTTTTTTTTTTTTGTAAATTTCAAATTAGTTTGCTGTGTCACTTTTATCTTATATTCACATATTCATTCGCAGTTTGCTCAGCCGGTCCGTCGTAATTTTGAACTTAATCACTATTACAATAAATTATTTATAAAGATACATATTGTATATTTAGTAATAGTCTTATCGAACAATATTGAACAAGAAATCATTTGCATCAGTAGGTGTCCTAAATGTCCTTCATTCAATTTCGGAAAGTGAAGAAATTCGATTTTTTGTCATCATTTTTTTTTCCTTATTTTTTATACGAAGCATTTGTGAATTACCTTAAAAAAAACAGTTTACAGAAGAAAAGGAGATACACTATTCTCGAGAATGGGTTAAAATTAGATTATCATATATGATACTGTATATCATTGTATCACGCGGACGACTCATTTTGGGTCAGGGACGATGATTTCTGCGGTGATAAATTGTCGATTCGTCCGTGATAAAATCAAATTCTGCAACATCGTGCGCTCGTTTTTTAGAGTCATGTATTTTCTACACTGGGCTTGTCGACAGTTATATTTTTTACTTATAAACTCTTTCTGTGTCATATTCCAAATTCTGTGAAACGTCAAAATCCCGAAAATAAGGTCAAAATTCCTAAAAAATTGGCCAACATTAAACTGATCCTCTGTTTATCAGGATTTTGACCAACCTATCCTTCGGCTCGGCAATCGGAGATATCACATGTTGGTCTCGTGATGATTCGAGAAAAAAGCTGCTTCGTATCGAGCAGCTTTTTGTTTTGTCTCTCATTTACTACGTAATCGAGCATCAACATATCAATTTTTTTAAATAGTATCCATAGATTATAATTGAGTTTTAAATTAAAATTCTTTCATATAATGATATTCATGAGATGATAATTTTGTTACAGTATATGCAGAAAGAGAAAAATATCTGATATGAAAAATTAGGTAATGTAACTAGGCACTTGAGTTGTTTAAAAAGAGTTAGAAATGTATTATATTATACTGGCATGTTATGAATCAGTTCTAGTATAATTCTTGTGCAATTCATCAAATATTTTATCAATTTCATATTATCATTGTAGAAGAAAGATAGAATTTATAAGAATTGGTTTTTATTTTATCATTTATCCACCCGGGTTACCGGGTCATGATTTTCAGACGGGTCCAACCACTATTATCGACCATATCTGAAAAAAATTTTTTTTTAATTATATTGTAGTTAGACAAAAGAGAGTAAGTTAAGGTGACATACTTTTGGAATTCCCATTCTCTATTATCTAAAGGACAGACTTGACGAGTCTTCAGCCAACGAGATATGCAATGGAAGTGAAACGCGTGATTACACATTCCCCAAGCTCTGATATAATTAATATTCATTATATAATTTTAGTTAAGATAAAAATAGTAAGATAAAAATTATTAATCATAAAAGGCATATAGACAAAAAACCTACACCGTACACTCTTCACTAGTTGCAGAAGCTTGATTCGCTTGACATTCAATACCTTTTTAAATTTTAAGATCAGAATTATTAGAAGAACTTTAAACAATATCTGTGTTATTCCAATAAATTGATATAGGACTAAATAAATTTACTTACATAGATCCATAATATGATTTCGGCAAATAGCGCAGTTATCGACTACAATATCTGTAGAAATAAATATAAATTTTAGCAATCGCATATTACTGAAAGATCATGATTATTTTATGTTGTAAACTCATTTTTACCCCAAGCCCATAATGCTACGGCATTCCACTAAATAAAAGAAATCGGTATATATTTAATATTTCATCAAATCTTCTCTTAACCAACTTTCAAATTTCTCGGACAAGCAACTCCGTAAAAAAAAAATGATTAATACCTTCTTTACTTCAAAACGCTTCTTCGAGGTGTCCTTAGCCTTGCCACTACCACTAGCTTTTGAAGCAGCAGGTGTGTCAATCTCCATCGGAGTGCCGTAGGTACTCATTTTTTTTTTTTTGCTTGTATATTTGAAGTATTTGAAGTATTTGAGAGTAAGAAATTATGATAAGTGCGTCTAATTTTTATATCAATATTGAAGTATCTGATCGTGTGTAACCAGTTAGCCGGTTTGCGTAGTTAGTTTAACTCCTATCAATATTTAGTAGATTTAATTGAGACTATTCTAAAAATATGGATTGGTGGGTCAATAATGAGATTTCTGAATCGCACTCCTTTTTGCATGTAATGCTGGCCAAGATCGTTAAATAAGCTTTTCTGGGCACGAATTATAAATTATTGATATTATTGATATGAATTTGATACCGGTTTAAATATTGTCTTGCTTAGTATTAGTATCAGGTATACTACAGTAGTAAATATGACTGAATTTTTTTAATAATAACGATAAATTAAATGATAGATTTTCTTTTACTCATTAATACTTGTTCAATATTAATAATAAATAATCTATGTCCCTGCTGAAAGTAAATCAGAAATAAAACTTGTTGGCATAGATAATAACGGTCGCAATGCGCCACTAGGGTTTAGTGTTGTACATTTCTAACATCAATATATATTTTATTTAGAAAATTAAAATATATTATCTTGAAATTTTGAGTAATTTTTATTTTTATTTTTTTTTTGTCTCAAAATGTCCAAACTCATATCTTAATTATATTATCAAATTCAAATTATTTAATTCGAATTATCAAAATTAACAATTTTGTATCTATTGTCTATTAAATATCTATTTTGATCATAATTTTTTTTTCTTTGATTTACGCGATACCGTACACTCTTTACCTTTCCTCTTCTCTCTACCCTCGAGAGATTCAAAATTATTATGAGCAAGGTCACAACTAAGATTGACCTTGGTTTTTCGTTCTTTGTTTCTCTCAGTAGCGAACTCAAGATCAACTGAACCTTCCTTAGTTAAACTTAAATTATCCATGTTAAAGCAAGGTTGTTCATCGCTTTTGTCTGAATGATACAAATGCATATTAGTAATATTAAAATAAATAAATAAAATAAAAACCTTCCATATCATGCATCAAAAAAAAAAAAAAGAAAAAAAAAATATACCACTTTTTGTCTGACTCATTTGTTTTGCTTTCAACGAAAAATAATCTTGTGTACTTAATTTATTGACTATTGTTTGAAAACCATTAGTATCAGAGCAACAGTCTTTTTCGTTTTTATTGGAATTATTTTGATCGTTTACAACATTTTCAAAGTCGTCTTGATTGATTTTGTAACCATTTTCAAAATCTGAAATGGACTCCATTTTCGCGGCATTAGATTTGGTTTTTATACCCAAAATTTCCTTCAATCGTTCAGAATCTTGCACAGCTGCTTTTTTACTTTTAAGATATTTTGCACGATGACTTTAATGTGTAAAAAATAAATAATAGATTAATGTTGAGAAAAGAATTAAATGAACTGTAATATAGCACTTAGGAATATAACTCACGCGAGACGTATAGAAGTACAATCCGAATTGTCAGTATTGGAATTTGGCTCATTCGAGATTTTCGACTTGGAAATATCCAATTTGACTTTCTTTTTGTTCTTAATTACTTGTTTTTTGTTTTTTTCATGTTTTTCTTTTTTCTTCTGCTTCCTATGTGTTATTTTAATATTTGAGTCAAGATCTAATTCTGAGCCATTATTATTATTTTGAATAATTTCTTCTGAGACATCAACATCGTCTTGAGTTTGTTGATTTAATCCTTTTAATAAATCATTGAATGCATTCGAATTATCTAACCAATTGTCAATTGTTTTCTTGGAGGCACCAACCCCGAGATTATCTTGTTTATGAGAAAGCTTGATGCATTCCTGCGATCCATCCTCATTTATTCCAAGCCCTTTGCCAGGTGACCAACCCATTTTCGATAGCATTTTATATCCATATTTTGTTTTGTCTAATGCACGTTTACCATAAATTTTCAATCATTATTAGGCGGGAGTCATTGTAAATGAAGTTAAAATAGAAAATTAATTAAACTTGGTGAGGGAAGAAAAACCAACCGTTGCTCCATTTTTGGTTTCTGGGATCAACTGGTATCCGTTGCTTTACTTTCGGTCCTGCGAGGCCCATTCATAAACGAGAACACGTTGGGATGAATCAGATAATCAATAAATAAAAAAATGCCGGTTTTTTATAGGATCGATCGTTAAACGGTACACGAAATTCATTTATTTTCTACCAATCAAATCATAAGTTTCGAGAAAAAAGTGAAATACTGAAATAGGTAAGATATATACAGTTTTAGATAATCTAATATATACTCCATATATATAGTTTCTTTAGTACATACGTATACGTAGCTCAATAAAATAATAATAATTTATTAACCTCAATTGATTGTATGATTCTCCCTTATACATAATAAATACATGTTTATTAAATTTTGTGATTAATCAAAGTTATATTAGATTATGTACTGTCAAAAAAATGATATTTGTGGAAATTCACGAGTAGATGATTTGGCTTGCTTATATCTGTATATTACAATTTATTTTGAGATCTTCCGATGATATCAATTTATTATTATATATTTGGAATTCAAAGTTTAAATTTAAATAAAATTTCGATGTTTGTATTTGATTAATTTTTTGTTTTAAACTCGGATTATCTGGTCATTCAAATAGATTGGTCATGATTAAATTTTATTTCTATTGCCACATAACAATTCTTTATTATTTAAAAGTGATATTAATATGAAGAAAATTCATTATCAGAACTAAAGCTTCTAAAGTTACATATAAAAGTAAGTTTAACATCTCTTCTAATATTTTTTCTAAAATTTCTTAACATACATTCAATCTTTCCATATGCATCAAATTCATCAGAATAATAATCAGGATCTGAATAATCATCATCATCTAAATTCTCAGGAATTCTAGTAAAAGGTTGGTAAGTGTAATGAATATTCAATGAAGTTAAAGTCGCATTCTCGCGTAAAGCTCTAGCAATTTCTTTTATAACTTCTTCATAATCAAGTTGACAAATAGTAATATCCAATGATATTAAGGATTTGTTTGTTTGAAGTGCCCGCGCTAATGTTTTTCCTTCCTCTCTAAAAATAATATTATCACTGATATTTAAAGAGGTAAGGGTTGAGCTTACACTAAGAGTTGCCGCAAACTTCTCTGTTACTTTACGAGAAAAATTGTTCTTAGCAATATCTAAATACTTAAGGCCAATATTATTGCAAAGAGCGTCCGCTAGTGCATTTCCACCTTCAGTCCAAAGTCCATTATCCCGAAGATTTAAAGAGGTAAGCGTAGTGTTTTGATAAAGTGCTCTTGCCAGCTCTTCTCCACCTTCATCACCAAGGCGATTTTTGCAAAAGTTTAGGTCGGTGATAGTTGAATTTTTACAAAGGACCACTGAAAATGCTTTTCCTATTTCAGCGTTTAGCAAATTATTTGAAAGATTCAAAGATGCGAGTGTTGTATTCTTACAAAGAGCTCTTGCCAGTGCCATTCCACCTTCAAAACCAATTTCGTTATTTGTTAATTCTAAAGAAGTAATAGTAGTGTTTTTATAAAGAACTTCTGTTAAAGTTATTCCTCCTTCATCACCAAGTTGATTAGTTTCAAGATTCAGGAAAGTCAGTGATGAGTTTTTACATAGCGCAGCCGCCAATAGTTTCACTCCTTTAACGCCAAGTTGATTACCTCCAAGATTTAAATAATTCAAAGAGGTATTTTCACAAAGTGCATTTGCCAATACTCTTGTTCCTTCAACAGAAATTCGATTATTTTGAAGATTTAAAGAGGTAAGTGTATTATTTTTACAAAGGACGGCTGCAATTGCTTTTCCTCCCTCAACGCCAAAGTAATTATTACTAAGATTTAATGAAGTCAGAGATGTATTTTTGTAAAGAGCTTTTGCCAGAATTTTTATACTTTCAGCATTAAGTAAACTGCCAGAAATATCCAAGAATGCTAGAGTGGAATTTTTGAAAAGAACATTCGCCAGTGCTTTCCCATCTTCACCGCCAAGATGACAACAACCAAAGCTCAAAGATGAAAGAATGATATTTTCGTAAAATGCCTCAGCTATCAATTGTCCACATTCATATGAATCATCTATACACCTAATACTTAAATATTTGAGTGTGGTATTTTTAAAAAGAGCATTCTCTATTGCAGAATCAAAGTTAAGCCAGTCAAGACAAATTTCTTTAATAGCTATATTTTTATAAAGAGATTCTACTAAAGTCTTCTTGAATATTCCAGAATCATAACCATTAAAGGTTACGAATTTAAGCTTCTCACTTGTTCGTAAAAGCATAGCAATCAATGAACATTTGATCGTTTGAACTATATTAGAATATTCATCACAGTAATCTATTAAAACGCGAGGGCCATAACCTTCTTTGTCAATCCAATCTATTATTGATTCTCTAAGATGAGAGTCTTCATAAGAGATAGCAAAAGTAGCGTAGTTAATCAATGGCTTCGGTCCATTTGGAAGCATTATTTCAAATGGGATTAATGAAGTTTGTTCTTCAACATTTAATAACGAAAGATATATTCTTATAATTCTTGCATCGATAAAATCTTTCAGAGGTTTGCTCCATAAAATCGGTACAACTAATCTACACCATTGACGACTTACTAAAAGACAAGAAAATAAGGTTTCATATTGTTGTATATAGCTAAATATTTCAAGGAAACATTCGTTTGATAATGGTATCATTTCGAAAGTGAGAAAAATTCAAATAATCGTGAGGTGGAAATTTCTTTTTTATAAACACGAAATATAATCAGGATCAGAATCAGGTGTAACATAAAAACTTTCAAAAAACAAATACATTTACGCGATTTATTATAGTTTTCATAAATAAAGTAAAGTTTATTCCCCGATCCGGTTCGGTCCTAGGATCTGATAGGACAGTCCTAGACTTATTACAAAAAACCGTTAGTTCATCAGTCCCCAATCAAATTACTTCATTGTTAAAACAACGCCTTATTGTAAGACAATAACGCCCAATGAAAGTTGGTTTTTTGGATTTATAAAGAGACCTGATCCAAAAATCGATACCGGATCAGGGCCCCTAGAAAATTTCGAAAAGATTAGAAAACAATAAATCGCAATTTTTACTGGATATTGCATTATAAAACAATTTTATCCTTTTTTTATGCATGTGAGGTTACACAGTAAAAATCTGCAAATTTAATTGGTTAACTATTTTTGTCTACCAATTACATTTGTGTATTTGCATGTAACTTCACGTGCAGAAAGAAGCACTATACGTAAAAATTTAATTGTATAATATATAAGGCTATACAAATTTAATTACTTGGTTTTCATAACATGAAACTTTTAAATAGACCCGGCCGGCCGGCTTTTTTTTTT